CACCTAACCTCTCCTGTCACCTCCCGGACCTAGAGCCAGGACCCTTGAGGTCAGCCACATCTAACTAGTCCAGTGGTGCTGGGGGGTGGGGGAGGCTTCAGACATGCTAGGCTCCCACCTGAAGTCCTAACCAGCCTGGCCCCAAGTGGGAATTTTTGAGAGAAAACTTGAGGCAAAGCTTTGGAAGTGCTAAGGAAGCCTGAGCGCTCATTTGACTCCATCCTGTCCCGGATAAGGAGGCTGGAGGTTCCCAAAGCAATTGCTGGCCCATTTCTGAGACACTTTCTGGAAAAGCCCAGATACCCCTTCTTCAGTGCATGATGAGATCAGGGGAGCTCAGGGGAGCACCGTCTTGATCTGGGGCCCCTCAACCCCCTTCCTTTCTTTGATTCTATCGCTGCTTCTTTTTCAGCCAACCCCTCTGCCAACTGGCTGCACGCTCGTTCTTCCCGGAAAAAGCGCTGTCCCTACACCAAATACCAGACGCTGGAGCTAGAGAAGGAGTTTCTGTTCAATATGTACCTCACCAGGGACCGTAGGCACGAAGTGGCCAGACTTCTCAATCTGAGTGAGAGACAAGTCAAAATCTGGTTTCAGAACCGGCGGATGAAAATGAAGAAAATGAATAAGGAACAGGGCAAAGAGTAAAGACCACCCCAGCCCTCTCCAGCCCTTCCCCATCTCACTCTTATTTATGTGGTGGCTGCAAAGCCAGTGCTGTCTGGGATGAATTCAAGTGAATGGGGAAGGGAGTCTTTCTCTTCCAAGTCCTTTATCTGCACCTAAAGGCCCTCTCCTTTCCCTTACCCTTACCTTTCTCCCTCTTCTTCCTGAGCATCAAGAAGAAGTTTTGTTGATTTAGAAGGTAGAAGTAGCTGGTTCCTAACCAGGTGATGGGCCACAGAGAAAGAGAGACCCTAGTCAAGCTCCTAGCATCCCCTGTCAATTTTTTGGGAAGCCCCAGCTCCTGGCTTCCAACCAGCCTATTCTTTCCCTGCACCCATCCAAAAGCCACCCAGGGACACTACAGGAGGCCAGCAGTCACCACATACTTAGCACCTGGAGGCCGAGGTAATAGTAGAGAAAGCTCACAGCCACTGCTCAGTCAAATGAAGTGGCACCCCAGTGCACCCCTTTGCAGTCCGGTGCTGCAGAACAGCCTCAGATCATCAGGAAAGCCTCAGTTCTACGCCTGATGCAAACACACACTAGAAAGATGGCTAGAGACAGACTTCTGAATGAGGCGCTCTGTCCAAAGGTCTCAGCAACAAAACCATCCCCCCTGGCTAGTCCCCCCTCACCAGGGCATGGGCCACAGGCTGATGGCACAAACCCAGCCTCCAAGCTCCTGGGCTAGAAAGGGCAAAGAAGGGCAGCAAGTGGTTTTCCGAAGGTAGTAGCTTAGGTGGAGCCCCCCCCCAACACACACACATACATTTTGTTGCAGGAAATGTTTAATTCTGCATGATGTTTTCTCCTTCTAAAAAGAGATCAAGCTGTGGGTCGGAGAGCCTTGACAATGTCGTCCTCCTGTCCCTCTGTGTCCCACTTGACAGAGACTGTAGCTTCTTGCTCCCACCCTGCATTCTTCTGCATCCTCCCCAGCTCTGAGATCAACTCTGGACAAAGCCACCTCACACCAGCAAGTCATGCCGCCCCTTGTAGAAAAAGCCCTTCACCACCACCCCTGGGCCCACTGTAGGCAGGAAGGCTAGGTTAGGAGAGTCCCATGGAGAATTGATTGTGAATCAATTCCTGAGCTCCTCCAGGGTGAACTGTCCCAGACAGGGAGGAGTGACAGTGCCAGTGCACAGAGCCCAGTGCGAGATTCTCCCTCTCCCTCCTGCATCCTGACCCACTGGAGGAGCCCAGGGCTTGGTGGCGGCAGCCACTCCAGCACCAAAGGAGATAGCCCTACTGCCAGGCGTTTCCTCACACTACACAGGTCTGGAAGGAGATCTGTGTGCACGCTTCTGGTGAACAGTCCCACGTGCAAAGAAAAGAGGCAAACTTGCACCTAAGCATGAGAGGGAAGCTTACTCTCTGCTCCCCCTTTTCCCGGCTCCCCCAGCTCTCATTCCCCTCCAATTTCATATACTCTTGCTCCTGCTTCTCCTAACCCTGTAAGGGGGCATCCCAGTAGAACTTTTTTGCTTCGTCGGTGACCTGTTGTGAAATTGTGCTTGTGTTTTGTGATTTCTTTGAGGGTGATTGTCTCGCAAGTTTTCAGCTGTTGCTTATTTGGGAGGGTTGTGGGTGGGAGTGGGGAGGGCAAGGGGCCTAGAGCTCTAATTGTTTGTTTTGGAAGAAAAAAAAGGGTAAACAAAAAATATATATCACTCTAGAAAATACATCTCTCCTCGTGTCTTATTCTGTGTTGGCTGTCCCCACCTGGCTGTCGGTGGAGAAAACCCAGTTGCCAGGAGTGCAGCTTCCTGGAGGGGAGGGAGAAGACTGTGGGGGCCTAAGAGGTCTCTCTTTAGCTCCTGTAGAGTAAGGTCTTCCAGCCAAGCTTCCTGCTCTGACGGTGCTGAGAGCTGGTCCTGGGACCCAAAGTCCTGAAAACACTGCTTAAGCTGAGCAAAAGAGCCTGCGGACAGGATAATTGGGAGGCCAGAGGGAGAGGAAAGAGAAAGATCAGGGATTCAGAGGGGGGTGTCCAGGAGCAAGAGAGCCTTCCCCCAAGCAAAGTTGTTCTGGAGACCTCCCCTGCAACTCAAGGGCCAGTGGGAAGGCAAGGCCTGCCTGTGCTGCAGCTCCTGGAAGCTGGTCCTCTTAGAAGCTCTGCACATCACCTTACTGTGGCCACTTAAAAATACCGTGCACAGGGGGAAGAAGGCAACCTCTCTCTGCTGTCCCCTGAAGGAGTGTGTCTAGATGTAGACAGTGGCCTCAGGAGGACAGGGCTCTCCTTCCTTCTGCTCAAAAGAAGTAAGCTCATTAGGATTCTAAGCCCTCAACTGGGATGGAGGCTGCACAGCCTTGGTTGGAGGCCAGCTGGATTTGCTAGAGGCTGAAGCCTGGGGGAGAGGCTCCCAAAGGTGGCAGAGGGGCATTGAGTGTGGAACAGAAATGTTTCAGGAGGAACACTAATTCCTTCCCAAATGGGCTCCAGGATTAAAGTCTGGTTCAAGAGGCACCTTTCTGTCTCTCAGACTGCAGGTCCCAGCCACAGCCTCTGATAAAGGCAGAGGAAGCCACAGCCTTCCTCCTCCAGGCATGAGAAGTCTCTGCCGGCTCTGGACTCCCTCCCCAGCCCCTTCCCCAGCCTCTCTCCAGACGCACCCAGCCCACCCCGCAGCCTGTGGAGACCCTGCGGGTGGGGTAGCCCCAGGAGGAAGCACAGTCAGAGTAAAGGAAGCCTGCAAGTGGGAAGGTCGGGCCTACCCCCCTCCAACGAAAAGATGAGCAATCAGACCGCGAGCGGAAGGCAGCAGAAAGCAGGCAAGCCGAAAGACAGGCTCGGATGGCAACCTCTAAGGAGGGCTACTTTAGGGATAAAAAATAGACCTGGCTTTCGCAGCCGGTGGAGACCAGACTCTCTCCCCATCCTGGGATCTCCGGGCCCAGCCGGCACCGAGAGCAAGCCAGGAAGGCCGGTTTCTGCCTGAGAGGCACGCAGAGTGAGGCCAGGACCTGGACGGAGTGCGGCGGGGGAGAGGGCGAGGGCGCCCAGAGGGGCGTGGGCGGCGGCGGCGTCTGGGTCCTGAGCCCCCGGTGGCTTCTTTACAGACAAACAAAGGCGAAGAAGCGGAGGCTCGGAGGCTCGGAAGCAGGAGATGAGGAAATCAGTTGTCATAAAACGGAGAGAGAGATTCAGAGAGGGAGACCGTGAGAGTGCGAGGCAGAGAGAAGCCGGGAGAGGAATTCAATGCCGTGTGCGCAGCCATAAAAGAATATGACCGCTATAAAAGTTTATAGCGTATAAATTTCTGAAGGTTAAGAAACTAAACAGCAGCAAAGCAAACAGTGAGAGGAAACTTTCCGGAGCTGAGCGAGGGTGCTGAGAGAGCCGCAGCTGGGCCTGGGCTCCTGGCCGGCCGGCGAGGGTGGGGGGTAAGGGGAGTCTTTCCCTTGCAGACCCCACCCTCACCCGCCTAGTAAGCCGGGCTTGGGGTTTCCGGGGCCCCAGGGAGCAAAGGGGAGAAAGGGAAGGGGGAGGGAAGGAAAGGGAAGAAGAGAGGGCAGAACACTTTGTAGTCGCAAATACTTCAGAGATCGCAATTCGGACCCTTGTCTTTGTTCTTCACACCCCCGCCAGGATCGGGCGTATTAACGAGAAGCCCCTGCGCGCACTCGCACGCGCGCGCACACACAGCCGTCCAGCGGGGCCAGACGTCTGGGCGCGGGCAGCCTCTTGATCATTTTACAGTCTCATCCCATCTTCCCAGGCCTCCTCTCCCCCCACAAAAAGCCCAATTGTTTCTCCCCGGAATTTGAAACAACCGTGTGGGGTTTGAAAAGTGCTCAGTTCCCCTTTTACGGGCCATAAACGGCGCACTGCTTGGCAGTCTCCGCCAGAAATTAGGGGCTGGTTGGAGTGGGGGGAGGTGGAAGTAGAAAGAAAAAAGCTTATGACTTCTTTTATTCCCCCCCCGTTTATTTTTAAAGCGTATCTGCACAGTTTCATGAACCATTTCCTGATCCCATGCCTTTTCTCTCGCCTGCTCTGGTTTCCCTCCCCCTTTTCTGCTAATAATGAAAGTTTCTCTCGCTGGTAGCCTGTGCGGCTGGCTCTCGGAGAACCTTGGCGGAGCCGGTGGCGGTGGCTCCTTTTCGCACCGCCCCTGCCGTTAGAGGGCCCCCTTGCTCCACGCGAAAATAACCGGGGCTGCGGCTGCGGACGCCGGCGGCTCCACACCGCACCTTGGTCGGCCCTGAATCTACGAACTGTGCGCTATCAAAAGTCATGAATAATTTGCACGTAATAAAAATATAGGGTTCGTTATGGCCTTTCCCCCCAGTTTATAGGTTTCAGATATAGTGGTGTTTCCCTCTCCTCTAATGGTCAATTTTCTGAATTTCCCCCACGAGGAGGGCTCAGTGCTTCTCTCCCAGTTGCTGGGTTTGGTGGGACAACAAATGCGTGAAAACCGGGAATAATAGTAATAATAGGAATAATGGGACCAAATCAAAGGGGAGAATTGATTCGTAAAAATGAGATTTTCTGTTTAGAGGGGCAAGAGGAACGCCTGCGGATGAGGGCCAGCAGGTCAGGTGAGAGGGGCGAACCGGCAGAAGGTGGATGGAGAGGAAGCTGCCCGGAGGCGGGCTGCCCACAGCGGCCGCAGAGGGAACCGGGTGAGCTAGCCCCGGTGGGCCCCTATGTGGGGAAAATGAAAGCCCCATGATTTTTACCGGGTTTCCGAGCTGCCCAAACCCGGCGGGACGCCTGCTCACCGGTGCAGGCTCCAGAGCCTTTGTACGCGTCGGCGTCAGGGCTGGACGCCAGTCGGGCGACTCCGGTGCGGGGTAGGGGTTCCCCAGCGCGGTGAGGTGCGGGAAGGCTTGGATATCTCCTTGGGGTGCTTTGAGAACCCCAAATTGGGCTGCCAAAATATGCGCGTGGTCTGGCAGGGTGTGGGGGCAGGCGCTGCGGCAGGACGCTGGAGGTCGGCTCTCCCAGCTTTCCACGGCTTCCAGGTGAAACCTGCGGCTCCCACGCACCCTGGGCCCTGGCCCTGGCCCCTGCCCCAGGCAAACCTGGGGGTACCCGGTCCTTTCGTAATTTAGCAACTGGAGACCTGAACTCGGGCACTTTTGGTTCTGAGACCCGAACTCAGTCTGCACTTAGCCTCTTTAATTCCAAATCTCCTCTTTCCTGGGCCCAGCCAGATCCGTTCCTCCCATCCGGACAAACTCGCTCTAGAAATAGATTAACCCCCCACCCTCAATTACTCTGGTCACAGCCTCTCCTTTCTTCCCCCAGGACCGGGAGCAAAAGAGGCAAGCGGAGTTTTTTTCTCAACTTGAGTTTCTCTAATAAATCTGCGCTCCGTTGGGTGTTTATAAATTATCTCCTCGCTCTTTCTTGTTTTTTCTTATAATAGAAACATTTTCCTTCCATCAGGAATTTCTGGCACGGTGTAGGAATGATTTAGAACAAGCCATTGAATTTCTACCTCGCCGGTGAGTCCTCAAATCATGACCATAAAATCCCCCCCGCACTTGATAAAAACGTTCGCTTCGGCAACAACTTCACTCTGCCTTCGGCTGCCTCTGCCTCGCCTCCCCTCCGCCAGGCGCAGAAAACTCCAGACCTGGTGCTCTCCCCTCCTTTCCCTCCCTCTCTCTCTCCCTTTTACCCCCTCTCCCATTCTCTGGATTCACTTTTGAAGGACTAAGTGACCCCACCAGGCACTTTCCTTGGAAAAGGTGGTAGTTTCATTTTTACACAGATTGGGGTGTATGGAGTCCCCCAAAGAGAGACATCTCTCTCCCTCCTTAATAAACAATGGGTTGAATGCATTTGTAAAGCCTCCACCCTTGTTGCTAGACATTTTCTTTTTCTTTCTCCTTCCTCCCCCTCTCTTCCCTTTCCTTTGCTGATCCACTGCTTCAGGAAGCCATTGATTGTGACCCTCAGACTGGGCCTTCCACAGCCTGGTCACCGTTTGCTATCTCTAGGCCTGCCAGGCAGGGAGGGCAGTGGTCATGAGCCGTGGCCTCAGGTCCCCTCCTGCCTGCCTTCTCTGTTTCAGGCCTCAGGTGTCCAGGTCTGCAGGGAGAGTCAGGTTTAACTAGAGGCTCCCCGAGGGAAGAGGAAAGAAACTGGGGAGCTTGGTGGCCTCACTCTGTTCCTTCTAACCCAAGGTCAGTGGAGGTGGTAACAGTGGTTCTTGGGCTCTTGGGGACACTGAAGACTAATAGGTGCCCCCTCTCTAAATACCCCCTTACAGTCACTGCCTGGGGCAGCCCAGGGCATATAGCACAGCAGACACCAGGGCCCAGATGGGTGCCTAGCAGTACCCCAGTTGCCCTTGCCTCCTGTGATGTGTGGGTGGGATTGGCAGTACCCTCTTACTCCAGGGCACTGCAGAAGATGCAGAGGGTTGGCAGAGGAAGGTCCAGAGTCCACTGGGTGGTTATTGGGCCCCAAAGCCTGGTGCAAGAGTGGGGCAGCCCTATGGGGTGTCATACAAAGTCTGACTTCAAAAGCGCTGACTGGTCAGACGTGCCTTCAGGAGGACCCCCACCCCCCACCCCAGTCCCAGCACTCTCCCCAGCAAGCTGAGATTATGCAAAAGTGCAGAATTGACTCTTGGCGGTTGTGGGGTGAACTTTGCTCTATGCTTCAACACTGCCCCTTAACCAGAAAGTTTCTTCTGCGGCTTCTGGTTCCTCCCCTGCCCTCCCAGACCCCTCTCCACAGAGAATCCTTGCTGATTTGTTTAAGGAGGGAAAGTACCTCTGAGTGGCCTGGGTAGGGCAGAGAGGGGATGGTTTGGGGGCTCCAGAGAGCGGGTGGGGGGCAGGTGTTTGCCATTGCTGGAGGAGGTGAAAATCTCAGAGAAGTCACCGTTTGCGCCGAAAAAAAACCATAATCGTTCTCATTTCGGCTCCGTCACCCCCACCGTGCTGCAGTCGGGCGGCGGGGGCGATCGAAGCTGCAGTTTTATAGCTGTAGAGGAAAGAACTCGTAAAATGCTAACAGCTTTTATGCGCTGCGGCATAAACAACAACAGACTCCGGCTTTATTGCGTTTTATAGTTTGTTAAAGAGTTTACAGCCGTTTTTTGGGGGCCGGTTACCCAGCCAATTCCCTCCACACGATAGTTAAACCTTTATCAATAATAAGGAAATTGATCATTAAAGCTTTAAATATGACTACCTCGTTTGTTTGAAAATATGTTTAGGAGAGGAAGCTGTATGATTTGATAACTTGTATTAAAATACCAATTACATTTATAGGACCTTTTAAAACTCGGCGCAATTAAACCGTGTTCTTTTACATTTTTCCGAAGCGACCCTGACATTTAGAAAGACTCCAATTGCCTCGTTAAAATCGCGAAATTAACAGCGTGCCTACGCGCCTGGCGCGCTGTGTATGTGTATGTGCGTGGTTTTTTTTTTTTCCGTGACTCCCCCACATCACTCTTTGGGGGTGGTCTGCGAAGGTATTTGATTTGTCGTGAGGCGAGAGATATCTCATTAATGTAGGTAGTTAAACAGATTTAATCCGTATTCATTCTCTCTCACCCCCCTCTCCCTCTCCCCCTCACTCTCCCCCTCTCCCCCTCTCTCCTCCCTGGGTGTTTTTTTTTTTTTTTCTTCCCCTCCTTTTTTTTTTTTTTTTTTTTTCCTCCGCGCTCTCCTCACTCCCTGGCGCTCTCTCGCTTTAGCTCTCTCTCTCGCTCGCTCGCTCTCGCTCTCACCCTCGCTCTGCGTTCTGTCCGGGAGGAGTACGGAGAAGCCAATAGGATGCGGGGTCTCTAATGGATGCAAATGATCATGAAAAGACAGTGCAAAATATGAAACAACTCATTTGCGGGGAAGTAAATCACCGAAAACTGTTTATGAACTGGCATCCCTTCTTCGAAATGTAAAGCGAGGACCTCTTTAACGGGGGGCCACGGCTGCCATGCAAGCTTAGACTTTTGGAGGCTTCTCTGTCCTTTTCTATTCCTGGAAATCACAAAAAGTGTGGCGGCTTTGAGATCTTCTTCGCCTTTTCTTTTTTTCTTTCCTTCTTTCTTTTTTTATTTTTTTCCTCCTCCCTTTTTCCCCTCTCCTTTCCGGGCGAGGCTGACGAGGAGCCGGCGAATCCGCGTTTTTTTCTCTCTCTCTCCCTCCCTTTTCCCCCTCCCCACCCCCTCCCCCACAGCCCCCAACTACAGCCTCCGCCGCCGCCGCCGCCTCAAAATTCAATAAAATGAGCTCTTCAGGAGTTCTACCACGGGCCGTCGTCGCTGTCCACGGCTCCCTACCAGCAGAACCCGTGCGCCGTGGCATGCCACGGAGACCCGGGCAACTTCTACGGCTAAAACCCGCTCGCCGGCG